AGAGAGAGAGAGAGAGAGAGAGAGAGAGAGAGAGAGAGAGAGAGAGATGGTAATAACTTTTTTAACATAGTTGGAATTTCCTTTGTTTTTCTACATATTTTATTTTTCAAATTTATTTTATTTCTAATTTATGGAAAACAACCATTTCCATTACACAGTATAATAAAAAGAAAGATTATTGCACATGAAACTACAAATCTATTATGTACTGATTGCTATTCTTTTTAAATATATAATAAAATCATCATGTAAATTTATTTTCTTCTTTCTTTTTTCTTCCCTTCCCCTCATTAACCAAAAGATGGCTACCATTGTAGGTATGTGTGTGTGTGTGTGTGTATACACATATGTATATATAGATATACACACACACACACACATATGCACGTACATACATATATACACATACTTATTCTATACATACTTCTATTTATCAGTTCTTTCTCAGGATGTGGATATGTCTTCATATGTCCTTTATAGTTAATTTTGATATTTATAATAGTCAAAATGACTTATTCACTCAGTCGTTCTTAAAACAATATTGCTATTAGCGTATACAATGTTCCCTTGGTTCTGCTCATTTCTCCCTTTGTTACTTCATGTAAGTCTTTCCATGTTTTTCTAAGATCATTGAGTTCATCATTTCTTATAGCACAGTAGTATTCTATCACAATCACATAATCATACACCACAACTTATTCAGTCATTCCCTAATTGATGGGTATTGCTGCAATTTCCAGTTCTTTGCCACCACAAAAAGAACTGCTATAAACATTTTAGAACACATGTATTCTTTTCTTTTTCCCCTATTCATCTTTGCAACTAGACCAAGTAGTGGTATTTCTGGGTCAAAAGGTATAGGCAATTTAATAACTCTCTGGGAATAATTCCAGAATGCTCTCCAAAATGGTTGGATCAATTCAGAAATCTACCAACAATTAGTGTCCCAACTCTTTCACATTCTCTCCAACATTTGTCACTTTTCCCTTCTCTCATTGTAGCCAATCTGGTAGGTATAAAATGATTTCTCAAGGTTGTTTTAATTTGCATTTCTCCAATCAATAAAGATTTAGAGAATTTTTTCATTTGACTCCAAATTGTTTTGATTTCTTCACTGGAAAACTGTCTGTTTATATACTATGTATTTTAAAACATTATTCTCAGAAGGGGTCCATAAGTTTTTAACAGATTGCCAAAGGGTATCATAGCACAAAAATTTTAAGCACCCCTGCTTAAAAGTTTGTTATTCTTCTGAGATGAAATAATGCCAATATTATTATGACTCAACATGGTGTTTTATGATATGACGGGCTTTGGTCATAGAAAATAAATGTGTTACAATGACATAGTGTATCTCTCCTCCTTAATGTATGAACTGTTCCACTCCACTTTGTAGAACTCAATTTATTGTGCAGTTTTGTCCAACTCTTTGTGACCCTGTGGACCATAGCTCATCAGGCCCTTCTATCGTACACTATATCCTGAAGTCTATACAAGCTCCTGTTCATTGATTCCATGACACCATCTATTCATCTCATCCTTTGCCATCCCCTTTTCCTTTTTTCTTTAATCTTTCTTAACATCAGTGTCTTTTCCAGTGAGTCCCATCTTCTCAATCTGTGGCCAAAGCATTTAAACTTCAGCTTTACTATTTGACCTTCTAGTGAATAATCTGAATTAATTTCTTTAGGTATTGACAGATTTGATCTCCTTGCTATCCAAGGAACTCTCAAAATTTTTCTTCAGCACCACAACTTGAAGGCATAGGTTCCGTAATGATCAGCTTTCCTTATAGTCTAACACTCATGGTGATACATTGCTACTGGAAAAGCCATAGTTTTGACTATTTGAACCTTTATCAGCAAGGTGGTATCTCTGTTTTTCAATATGTTGTCCAGATTTGCCATAGTTTTCTTTCCAAGGGGCAAGCATCTTTTAAGTTCATGTCTACAATAGCCTTCTTTATTGATCTTTGAGCCCAAGAATATAAAATCTGACATTGCTTCCATTTCTTTTGTTTCTATTTGCCAAGAATTGATGGGACCAGTTGCCAAGATCTTAGATTTTGATGTTAGGTTTCAAGACAGCTTTTACACTCCCCTCTTTCACCCTCATCTGCAGGCTTTTTAATTCCTCACTTTCTGTCATCAGAGTTCTTCTCTCCATCTATCCTCATGTAAAAGTCACTGAATATCTGATCACGCTTTCTGTTCATTGTGCATCAACTCTATGGCATGTGGATTTCTTTAAAGGTACATATATCTTTAACATTAAGAGGTAATCTAGCATAATGGACCTCATGTTTGACTTGGAATCAGAAAGTGCTAGATGAAAGTTCTGTTTTTGATGCTTAATTGCTATGTGGTTATGGACAAATCATTCAACTTCTCTGAATCTCAAGCAACTTTTGAAGACGAGCATTGAAAGGGCACATTCTCACACAAATGAAAGCCCAAGTTGTTGTGCTGTTTTCTCTCCTATTCTGCTGAACAAGGCTTTGTTGTTGTTGTTGTTGTTGTTGTTGCCATTGTTGTTGTTGTTTTGGTTTTTTTGGTTGATGGTTTTTTTTTATTTTTGCATTGTTTTCATTGAGCTTCAGTGGTCATAATAACATTTTATTTATCTTCTCATGTTAAAGTTTTATCCTAATTTTATGATCCTTAGTACAGTAGCATCTAGTATATAAAATGGCTGGATTTTTTTTTGCCTTTTATTAATCAGTGAGTTGTTGTTCCCATTCAAGGCAAAGACAACACCTTTCAAATAGAAAGATTGAGTATGATTTCTTACTCTGACACTTCTTAGCCATGTGAAACTAGATTGATTATTTCACTTTCTGTTCTCTCATCTTTAAAATGAGGATAATCATACCTACTTCACAAGACTTTTATGAGGAATTCACTTTGCAAATCTTGAAGTATGACATAGATCTAAGCTAATGTTATCATTGTATCTCTCCTGTTGTTATTCAAAGTCTTAATTTTCCTTAGTGCTCTTCTCTCTTTGTCCCTAAATTTTACTTCAAACCATCTTAAGCCACCAGCACAGTGAATCTCCTGCCAAAAATATTCTTCCTAGACTTAATGAGATGGATTCAGTCTCTTGCTAGGAGCCTATGTCCCTATAGCCCACCTTAGGCCAAACATCTCACCCTAGACAAAGCATCAGAGATTAATACTTTGCTCTTCTTTGCCCGTATTTCAGACTCTTTTTAGCGTCTCAATTTGCTTTATGATACAGTGATTATGTTTTAACACTGAGGCCACATTTTCAGACATTGTAAATAAATACATTTAAAGGCAGCATGCTTATAAAAGGACACTAAATGAAGAGAGCTGAAAACATGAACGCAAAATAATGACAGGCAGTCTAGGGTAATTCAGATAATTACTACAACTTGAATAAGTGGTAAAACAGTCACAGTAATACAGAAGAGTAATTTGTACAAGTACCTTCTTCTCGCCATAATATGTTAGCAACTGCAGCATGTCAAAAAAAAAAAAAGAGAGAGAGAGAAGAAATAAATGAAAATAGAATGAACACAATAGCATATCAATTCCAATAACTACTGAAGTGGGCACAACCTCTGGCCAGGAAAGAAAATCTCCAGAGAAACAGTAACAGTGAATTAAGCAAACTAATGTAGATTAATAGAGCAGCAACCTATCTATACTTATTATTATTGCTCTATGAATTTCCCCAAACAATTTCATTGGAGTAAAGATTCCATTAATAAACAAAAAGGACATTTTATGCCCCATTAAAACAGTTGTTCATTATACATGTTTATGTATTACATTAAAAACTGTATTAAATATTTGTAATATGATATTTCATTAAGCTAATTGTCAACAACAGTTAATTCTGAGGGGAGAAACCTTCACTAGTTGAAGCTCTTGAGACAGCTAGGAGGCATAGCAGACAGAATTCTAGCCTTGGAGTCAGGAAGATCCAAGTTCAGATTTTACCTCAGACATTTACTTCTTGTGTGATTCCAGGTACTTAACTTCTCTTGCCTTCAGTTCCTTATCTATAAAAGGAGAGAATTGTTCTGGGAGGCCTTCACCTCTAAATCTGTGATTCTATGGTCTTTACTTAGCTGAGATTATAGTTTAAATATACTTGTTAATTTTCTTACATTTTTTCTCATAATTTACAATTTTCCTAAACTAGAATAGTTTTTTCAAATATAAATGCAGAAGGCAAAAAAATGTTTTTTTGAATCAGTGTTTTCTTTTTAACATAAAGCATGTCTTAATGCATTATGAATTTTCATCATTGGATTCCTAGGAAAAAATGAAAATTGAGCCTCCAAAGAATTTTAATTTATCATTCTAATAGTTTCTCTGGATTGTAGAAAAATAAGGCTAGTTTCATAAAATAAATGGGGAGACTTGCTCAATCTTTGTCCAGTCTCTTCATCACTATCATTATTTCTTCCCCTAGCTGCCTGCTCTTCTGTGGTGGGGGAGGGGGAAAGGAGATAAGCTAAGTGAACATTAGAATTTTTGAAGCTTCATTTTCTATGCTTCTCCTACACACAGACATATACACACACACATACACAAATTCAATCACTTTACTTAATGACATACAGCATGGCACAGAATTAAGAACATCTGTGTTGAAGCCTCACCCATGTGTGACTGTGCAAATCACTTTGCCTCTATTAGTCTCAAGCGTCTGTGAAAGACATGTTTTAGAAAGAATGAATTCTGCATGAGTTGAGGGAGTTCTCCTATCAAATCACAGGTCGTTGGCCTATTACTGGACTTTGGCTTCAGAAACACAGAGAAAATAGTAGAGAAGACAGAAAGAAAGACATGGAAAAGAAAGATGAATCAAGAAAAGAGGAGATAAGAGAGAAATGGAAATTGAAGGAAAACGAAAGAGGAAGGAGGAAGAGGAGATAGGTCGTAAGCAACATGATTTTCTAGCTTTTTCAGCCCTAACTATATAGAAGATAACTCTGTTATACTCCAAGTGAACATTTCTTAAGGGAACTCTTTCTGAAGTTCATCCATGTTGAGTAATGGAAGCCTAGGGAACTGATAAAGACAGGGTCAGTTGAACCCATGCCACACATTATTACTCCTGCACTAATGTTTCATCTAATCTATTTGCCTTTTATGTACACCATATGTTTAAGGCACTCAAATCTTCTTCCAAGAAATGATTGTTTAAGGTATTGTATAAAATATTAAAAACCCTATCTGCATCAGGTAATGAGCTTGGAAAGCTTTGCGATATTAAAAGAGCCGCATCAATACAGCAGTTAACACTATCACAGGAAGCTACACAACTATTTTTCTTGGCTACTCATGTGTAAGCTGTTTGGCCATTCAACTAAATGAATTTTCTTTTGTCCTTGACTGAAGGAGTTTAAAGGTTTGCATTAGTTCAATACCTTTCATGACAAACCACATTTATGAAAGGATAACATTTTAGTTTGGTATCTTATTGACTCTTTTTACATTTGATATCAAAAATCAAGATGACTTTAGAAGGGCAAACTTCTAAAAAAGGGTGCAATCTTGGAAGTCTAAAAAGAGATTAAAAATTGTAAATCTCTGCAATGAAAAGAAAGTGTGACAGGTGTTATATCTGGAAAATAAGTACAAGGAAAGAAGGGAGTGACAAAGGGAGAGAGAGAAGGGAGGAAACAAACGAGAAACAGAGGGAGGGAGGGAGGGGAGAGAGAGAAAAAGAGACAGAGAGAGACAGAGAGACAGAGAGAGAAAGAGATTCAAAACTTTTTTAAAAAGGTATTTTAAAAGCATATTAAAAAAAGTATATATTAAAAGCTATTTTAAAGGTATTAGACATGGGTATATACTGATCTAGGCTTCCATATGTGATTGTTGTTTATGTTTTTTTTTTTTATTTTGGAATCTCTCCTTTCCTTTTAGTTACTTTAGATTCTTTTCTTCCTCAACAATGAGCACTCTAAAATTCAGCATGTATTTCAAATTTAGTTCTAATTATTACTTCAGTCTAATGACAGTTCAGGATAAGAACTGTGGGTCTGGCAAGTTGCTTAACAAGGAGGAAGAGGAAAAGCATATCCATAAGACTGTTTTTCCCTTTCCCTCCCCACCAACCAATCCCCTCTTAGTACACATCTAACCCTAGTGTTTGTGAACAATATCCCCAGACTTTTACTTCCTCATCTCACCATCAACTCTTGTTATCACAACCCCATGACCTAGGCGCCTATCCTTTTCATCCCAAGGATTAATTGCAGCTCCTAAAAGATAATATCTTCAAGACTTTCATAGTCTGTGCATTCCTCTGAAATGCAGAAAAATCTTAGCTTTGATACTCAGTACACATAGACAATATTTTAAACCTGTGGGGACCTTTGTCTTTCCTTTGGGGAACAAAATCTATTTTTTAAGAAGGAGGTAGGAATAAAAGGAAACGTTTTTGTCTGTGGTTCTCACTAGGACTCACTGTCACCAACATTAGCACACCTCAGGCTTGTTTACTTATTCCAGAAAGAGATAGTGAACTAGAATTAAAATAGGTGGTATTCAAAGAAGTCATTTTCTTATAAATTAAAAGCCTGTATGTAACTGACCTCAATAAAAGAATAGTATGAGAAAAACAAAAGGACATGGCCATACATAGATCTTCAAACTCATTTCTCTAGAACATCTGTATATGTCACCCAGCACCCATCTGAATGAAGTGTCTACCTTGGGCCACTGGAACTTTCCCTGGGGATAGACAATTAATTATTCTCACTGATCCTGCTGCCTGAGTTACTGTTATTGTAGACATCTATCTTCCATTGTAATATGGAACTTCCAACATATTTTCCATTGTTAACAACAAATCAATCAAGAAGTATTTATTAAGCACCTACAATCAAGGACAGCTCCAGTCACTGCAGAAAAGTGACATGGGGGAAATATCCCAGTTTTTGCATCAAGGCAGCAATTTAGCAAAAACAAGTAACAGTAACCACAAAACTTTCTGCAAAAATGATATAGTGAACAAAGGACCGCTCTCTTTATATCAAACCTATTGCTAGCTACTTCCTGAATTTGGCCGGGATTATCAACATTTACTCCCCTAGATAATGACTTGGGCTTGAGCCAAGTAGGCTAATGGGGAATCCTTTTTACATAACTACCTAGAAGCTTTCAGTTACTCTTCAGGGTGCATACCTGGGGCAATCTGCACAAATGAGATGATGCTAATTAAGTTTATTTGAAGTTTCTGTTCAGAACATTACAGTGATATCAGAAGATTCTCATAAAACTGTCATTTTGTAAGGTCTTTACAGTGAATTAACCTGTGAATCCAATCACCATTTTTGTCATTGTTTCTTTGGGTAAAGGTGTTCTGAGACCCAAAACTGTATTTTGGAATAAAATCTATTCACAAATAAGGGACAGACTAAAATGGAAAAATCAAAGCTTTCATAAAAAGATAAAATTATTTGAACCTTCCATTTTGAAGATCCCACAAAGTTCCTCATTTTAAAATTGAGAAAAATATGCTAAAGATTTACTACTATAAAATTCTAAGCCTGTTAATTTTATCTCCAAAACATCTCTCATTTATGTCCCCTTATCTCCTCCGGCAATGCTCCACTCTGATGTAATAATTTATTACCTCACACCTAGAATTATTGCAGTAGCCTCCTCTTTTCTCTTCCCAAAGAAAAGTCCTAAACATGTAGCCCCCTTCACCTGACACCCCCCACTCCACTCACTAAACTTCAGTGGCTTCCAGGATCAACTATAAAATGTTGTTGTTGTTGTTGTTGTTGTTGCTACTGCTGCTGCTGATATCCAAAGCTCATCATAACCTGGCTATTTTCTATCTTTTTCAGTTTTATTATACTTTTTACCTTTCCCAAGTACTCTTCAATCAGTGACACTGGCATCCTTATTCTTCCTCATTTGTGCAACTCTATCTTTCTACTGCACTCCTTTTCACTGGCTGTTGTCCATTCCTGGGACTCTACTTGCTCATTTCTACCTCCTGATTTCCCAGACTTCCGTGAAGTTTCAATTAAATTCTCATGTTAGCAAGAAGCCTTTCCTAGTCCTCCTTAATCTTGATGCCCTCCTTCTGAGATTATCTCCAATATATCCCCTATGTATATATTTTTATACATAGTTATCTGCATGCATTCTTCCTGTTAGACTGTGTCATCTTCAAGAGCAGGAACAAAAAACAAAACAAACTTTTTTTGTGTCCTTATCAATCAGCAGAGTTCCAGGAACATAGCAAGCTCTTGATAAATGTTTGTTGATTTGATCATAAGCCTATGTATTTGCATAAAATCAAATTGGGGAAAAAACTTAAAAAAGAGAATAATTGAAATGTATAATTATGTATATTGGCAATAAGAAAAATAAATCAATAGCCCACTTATCCCTTTCAGTTTACTTTTCACATTTAAAACAAACAAAAAGCATTCTCAAATTTTATAATATATAAGAAAGGATGTCTGATTTCCAGA